TGGACATCCGCTGCCGTTCCATACACCTAATGACAATAAAATGTTAAAGTACTCTATATCGATCATTACTTTTCAAGTTGGCAACAGATTTTCTGTTCTCTGAAGCAATCCTAAGTTTGCAAGGAGCAATGCCATGCTTTACTACACTATGGTTCTAGCTAAGAGTTACCAGAATATCACTATCAGAGACGAAACATCGCATGGCGCACGTTTGTGATGAACGGCATCTACTACCTCGTTTGTGCGATTCAGAAGTACCTCATGCATCTAATAGAGACTACGACCATAGCTCACTCTGTATTTGTGTAAAACACAGCTGATTTTGAGACATTTTCACAGCTGAAAGTCTGAAGTGGCCCGAGTGTCAACAGTACCTGGAATAACCGCCTGTAGCTGCTGGATCTGCTTGTGATCTGCAGGGGAATAATAATTTAGAGTTTATAGAGCTGTTTTTCTTTCTACTCAGCTAAGGTTTGCATGAAAACGATCAGGCTCTATTTGGTTTACACCTGTTCCTTCTATAATATTATCCTCCCAGATCAGCTGTTAGGGCTACGGGCGTGACAAGAAGTCGTTGTATGGTTTGGTTCTACAGTAATTCGGTGATTCGGTGATTGCTCCTTAGGCGACTTAGCCCAGTTGCCAAGAAGGAGAAATGGGACCGGGCCGGGGTAAGTAAGAGAAAATTTTCACAGATGGCGACATCCAGCGCTAGAAACCATTATTATATCGTATCACTTAAGATGCTATCAAGTTTTCTTAGTTTCCCGTCGGCATACCGTGGCGGTCGGCTCATGGACGTCGCTTAGCCACGGCTAGACGCGGACCCGTGGAAAAAACGGCTGGAGACAGTGAAAATAGCGTACCCTTCGTTCCTGGTTTCTAATGAAGGAGTGACTAATGATAATGAGGGATATATAGCAGGAAATGAAGTCGCCAGAACTATGGGGATTCCACTATTCTTGTTCAGGAGATAGATAGAAGGGGAATGGTTTAAGATTCTTTCCAAGGTGATTTTTGAGTTCAATTTTTGCAGATGATCAGGATTAATAATTGAAGTATGACAGCATCGAGACCAAGAAAACGCATGGACAACCAATGGGATAAATTAAGTCCATAGATCCCTTGGCGAAGAATCTTGGACGAAGGAAAGTGCGGTAGACGTGGATCTCGACCCGAAGCTGTAGGGCGCAGAGCTAAACGGTCGACTTGCGACAACAGGAAGTTACTTGGAGCGGGTAAACGTTCTTATTCGCTTCATTCCATGGGCTAGACTCTTTAGTTCAGTCCTCTCGGTACTCGGAACGACTAGTATACGAGGGCTTCTGATTAGGAACGATCGTCTTCCAAGCTGGTTGAGGTCGTTTTTTGCCTTGGTCACACATGTCTCAAGGTTGGGAATCAGTAAAACACGCAAGACAACCCATAGACTATGGGCAATGGTTGACGAATAGTTCATGAGGGGCGAACGGTCATCAGAAGACCCTGCTCAGTATGGTGTGAGATCTACGATCATCACGCGATAGGAACCTGGTTGGAATGCTAGAGAGTAAGGAGTTTGAAGTCCCATTAAAGGGTGTTTTCTATTTAGGGTTATGCCAAACTATTGGTCTAATGATCGTCACCAACCTACGTACGTACTGTGTATTTGTTAGATTGCTTACTATTAACTCGTTATCTTTCTTCTTCTCCTTCTTCTCCATGTCCCATGGGGGAAAATAACTTCTGATTCCGGAGTAAAGTTCATGACCAATATGACACAGGGCGTGAGGTCGGCATCGCGTAAGGGTTGATATTATCCGGGATTGGATTTGACTGCAAATGTCACGGAAGGGCGCAAAGGATCATCGGGAGTTGGACCAATCGCTGGGAAAAGTGGATCTGGACCGGAATTCGTGTTATGGAGACGAACTATGGAAAATATTCATTCATTCATTCATGTGGTCGGTGTGTGAGTTTTGTTGGTTCGGTCTAATTTTATTAAATATTTTTTTTTTATCTTTTTTCTTTTTGACTTTTTATTTTTTCTTTTTTTTTTTTCCAACAAGTGGATTATCGTCAACACGTGCTGAGGATGACCGATCAATGGATTCTCTCTTTCTTTGCTCGATTCGTGACTCATTTTGCGCCCTGAGGATTGACATGTCCTCAAATTGGTCAATTAGAAATACGCAGAAGGGGGGATATGAGCTGGGTATTTAATAATTTCAATTGCCGGGGGGTCTTACAAGAGGATATCTATCGTTGTTCATCTAATTTGAGTGTGCTGCAAGTATACATCAAACTATCTCCACAGCTCGCCATTACTATTACCCAACGACAACCATCACCCCATCCCTACATTCAATTTAGAACCTTTCTCTCGCAGCTGGCGTCTCCCTTCGTTTCTTTTTATATTCTTCTTTTCTCCACGTTGCTATCCAATTCCTTTTACTCAGTAACCATCTCTCCTCTTTACTACCAATCCGGGGTGCTGCGCATGACGCGCTCTCCACAATATCTTTGAGCATTTCTCTCTGTATTATCTCTTGTACTTGTGAAATACAGCCGAAATGACCTCATTTGTCACTCGTAGCTCCAGCACGTTGGAGTCCTTGACGCAGTCGCGTCCCAAGGTCGACATTGAACTCACCGGACAGACTGAAGGGTTTGTCAGTTCATATACCACTAAGGATCGTATTGAGGGGACGGCAGTGATAACGGTAGACCGTGATACTCGTTTTGATGATGTTGAAATCACCTTTGAGGGTAAGGAAATCCCAGACTGGATAGACCAATCAAAGCTGGAGGGAGCCTTTACTCATATATACAGGCACATCGAGAACTTCCGTGGAGCGTGTCGCGATGCCAGGCCGTACAGGTGCTTACCAGACATTCCTCCGACTTCGCCAACCGATTGAGGACTCTGCCTATCCTATGCCCCGTGTGCTGGAGGCCGGGCGCACTTACAAGTTTCCATTCACATTTGTCGTGCCCGATCGTCTACTGCCACATGTATGTAGCCATGCAAAGACGAATGCCCATGTCGAACGCTCTCACACTCTGCTCCCGCCTTCTCTCGGTGATCCCATGCTAGCCAATGATGGCAAGTCGCTCTTGAATGACCTAGCCCCAGATATGTGCCGGATATCATATTTGATCCGTGTGAGCGTGCAACGCAAACCAGAGAATGCCCCGTCAAAGGCCTTGGCCTCGGTAGGAAAGAAGGTGCGGATCATTCCGGCCGTGGACGAGGAGCCACCTTTGAACATCGCGGATGACGACAGCTACTGCATTCGGAAGGAGAAGGACGTCAAGCGCGGTTTCATGAGAGGCAAGTTGGGCCGACTGGTTGTCGCCTCGTCGCAGCCCAAGCCTGTGCAACTGTGCCCGCCAAACAGCGAGGCCACTGATTCGGTCAGCACTGCTGCTACAGTACACTTACGATTCGATCCCGTGGGCAATGAGGAACCTCCCCGCCTGGGCACGATATGGAGTAAGCTCCGAGTGTCCAGTCTGTTCAGCGCAGAGCCCTGGGGTGATTATCCTTCCCCCCGAAATGTGCCCTGGGCACAGATAGGTCAAGGGTGTTACACCGAGACGGTCCCCCTCTCCACCATGTGCGTGGCATCTGCACACTGGACGAAGCATACCAGCCCGAGGGGCCTCAGTCGCTGCGACTCAATGGAGTCAACATCATCCTCGGAATCTCTAACCGGTCCATCGGCGTCTTTTACCGGAGAGACCTATTATACCGCATCGGTCGTCGTGCCCATCACTCTTCCCAAGACGAGAGCATTCGTCCCGACCTTCCACTCGTGTCTGATCTCTCGCTTATATTGCCTCGAACTCAGCATTTCTTACCATACGCCAAACGCTAATATCCTGACCCCAACGGCTACGTTAAAGATCCCCATCCAATTCACAAGCCGGTCCCGGTCCGATGCAAAGACAAAGGGTTCTGAACATGAGATCACCCAGCATGAAGTTAATGCAGAATTCTTCAGCCCTCGCAGTGTCGCGCCCCCTACACTGGTCCAGGTGGCGCCACCAGAGTATTCAGAGAACCAAGGCCCGATTCTACCTCCTGACCGTTCGATCGATCTGATGTCTACAGCACGTCTCCCCAGGGTTAATGCTGGAAGCGTAGGGACTGCTTGTTGAAGGTCTTCCCGCATTCAACCCCGGATGCAGGGGGTTTCACGATATACAAAAGTTCATGTTTCCACGGCGTTAAGAGAAAGTGCTTTGTTTTGAATATACCCGGATTTTTTTTTTTTTTTTTTTTGTATGAAATTCCCATAGCAATAACGCACAAGGGCGTTTTTGATCGAGATATCCGGTTATTGTCAGGGTCCGAAATCATGTTTGGAGTCGTTTGTGCTGAGCCTAATTTAATTTAGAATACTTTAGTTTAATACAGTCTAACTTAATCAAGATATCGACACCGTTCTACTCCGTATATGTAGTCTAACCTAACTCCTGGGGTATAGACTTGTTACTTGCCTGAAATCACAGGCATCAATCTGTTCCCTGATCACACCCCATGTCTTTCCTTTTCTGCGTCTTCATAGAAGGTGGATTTGAACAAAAGACCCTCCTTTTGACACATCCATGAATCTACTATCGCCAGACTTGAAACATACCCTGAAAGTCCCGCCAAACAAAGCATCCATTGAACACAATGCCATACACATCAAGCGAATGCCCAAGTATTCTTTCACCCGACAAAGCAAGCACGGACTATGCGTCTTTATAAGAGCCGTCCAAGAGAGTAAATCATCCCTTAGTTCCCTGTGGTGTCTGACAGACTGCCGACGTTCATTGGTTATTGCATTATACAGATATCAGACGTGAAGCAAAATACTATAAGTGCAACATGGATTCCTTCTTATCAACAACACCTTCAGGCTATTATTATACAGCCTTGAGGCTTCTTCTATGCTCAGTCCGGACTGCACCGTATCGAAGTATCTCCTCGATGGACACATATACTTGGGCATCTACTAGCATCATTGACGATGAAAACTTTCTTCCTCCTCCTCTGGGGCCTCGCATGCTTCACCAGTGCTGCCTTCATCCCGCATTCAAAGGATGAACATGATACTTCTAGGCCTGAGAACGGGTATATATCTATGGCCTACTATGCAAATTGGGTTAATATTAGCTTTTACCTCCCACCCTCATTCCTATCAAACCAGCACAACAGACTTTCCTAACATGAATGCCTAGGCCATATACAATGACCACTACCCGCAGCATATCCCCGTCGACAAACTCACTCACGTTCTCTACGCTTTTGCGAACATCACCGAAGCTGGTGAGGTTCGGCTATGGGATCAATGGTCTGACTACGATAAACACTTCCCTGGAGACCCGGCGGAAGAAGATAAAGACAATGTCTACGGATGTATCAAACAACTGGGTCTCCTGAAACAGAAGAACAGACATCTAAAAGTCCTTCTGTCGATCGGCGGGTGTACAAACTCACAAAGCTGGGCTGGTATTCTCCAGGTTGACGCAAACCGAAAGAACTTCGCCCAGTCGGCCGTCAAGTTGATGCATGACGTGGGGTTTGATGGGCTGGACATCGATTGGGAGGTAAGCTTTTCCATTTCATATATTCTCTTTTTCCATTTCATGAGGGCTTATAGCATGTAGTATCCCAAAAAAAGATAGTGCAAAAGATATGGTGGCTCTCCTGAAGGAAGTAAGAGAGGTATGTGCTGCGTATACATTAGAAAATACACATGGAAAGTTGTTTAATTACGATTCTCATACCCCTCTTGTATCACACCGCTAAGAATTAATTAACAGGAACTGGACAGATGCAGCAAGGAGCATGCGAACAGCAACCATTTCCTCCTAACCATTGCCTGCTCAGCCGGTATGTGTGGCCCCTTCGAAAACACAGAAAAAAAGAACTAATGACGATTTCAAGGTGCCTCAAACTACAAAGTTCTTCCTATGTCTGAGATGGATCAATATCTCGATCTCTGGAATCTGATGGCATACGACTACGTCGGCAGTTGGGTAAATACAACCGGCCACGCAGCTAATCTCTATCCCAACACCTCTAATCCCGAAACCACCCGCCAATACAGATGATGCTATAAAATTCTATACCTCCAATGGTGTATCACCCAAAAAGATTGTCCTCGGAATGACGCTTTACGGCCGCTCATTCGTCAACACTGCCGGACTAGGACAACCCTACGTTGATGTTGGGACGGGCATGGGCGATGCCAGAGTTTGGCATTACAAGGTTTTGCCGTTGGCTAATGCAAAGGTTGTTGAACTACCAATGACAGGGGCCAGCTATAGTTACGATGAGAAAACAAAGATGTTTGTTTCCTACGATACGGTGAACATGACCATGGTCAAGGCGGGGTATATCAACACGAACGGCCTTGCAGGTGGAATGTGGTGGGAAACCAGTATGGATAGAGTTGGGGAACACAGCCTTATTGGTACGGTATGTCTTTTTTATTCCTTCACTTCTATTTGTCCTCGAATATACCTGTTTGCTAGATATTGAAATGATGTACTGACTAATATGGCTCAGCTTGTTCGAGAACTCGGTGGCCCTGACGCTTTGGAAAAATCCGAAAACTATATGAATTTTCCTGGTCGAAATACGCAAATGTCCGGAATGGATTTAAAACTGATCAAAAAACATGATGAGACTCTGTCGTTCTGGCTCTGTACCACAGGATTTGAGAATTATCCTAGAGTTCTATAGAAAGATTTCAAGACTGTTTATTCTAATCTTTTTGACATGGATCATCAAGTCGAGGGTCCAATCCCAATGTGCCTCGTTTCTAAGTGCCTCGCTATGATTAGACAATATTGATCCGGCAAAAATACCACTTTCCTGGATAGACTCAGTAGAACCACTGCGAGATTCTGTTTATTCAATCCTTCCATTAGAACTCAATGTATCTAGTGCTAGTGGAGGAGGTCATGCTGATTGTTTTGATTGTAATTCTTGGCTGTGTGGTATATACTATACTAGAAGATGAACGGCGAAATCATGTTGTTTGAAAAAAAGAAGTTCTACTGGTAGATAGGTAGAACCAAATCTATGAATTATATGTTCAACAGCACATCACACGACAAACCAAGCCAACTTTTCTATACACAAAAATAAAACATCTCCACTCAAGACAGAATTCCAACGCCTAAAAAATGCCCAGAACCTCTTTTGAAAACTTGACTTCGTCCCAATCGGAAAGCACATCAGGTCAACATATCATCCAACTTCTCCCCGAGCACGTCCTCAATCTGCTTAACCCACTTGCGAACTTCCCTCTCCACGTTCTCGTCCTCGTCTTCCATCAATTCACTGATGTACGGCAGCATCTCAGGCAACAGAGCAAGCCATTCCTCGCCCAGCTGCTCTGTGAGTGACTGTTCCGTTTTGAGGGCTGCGAGACGCGTGTGCGGGTTCTCGCCGCCGCCGGCTTTGCCGGTGGGGCCGGCTGAGGGACGTAGGTACCGCATGAGGACTGTGTTGAGTTCCTTGTGGTTATCTGTGGAGTCGGCTGCCACGGCCAGTTCGGTGATTGCTGGGATGGCTTCGTTGATGACTAGGGTTGCGGTTGTGGGGTGAGTGGCGTGGGCGAGTTGGGAGATGAGGGGTGTTGCGATTTTGGTGAGGTGTGAAGGGGATTGCCAGAATTCTGTTTCGGGTTGGGTTAGTTGATCTGCTTGTGTTAGGGGTTGCGGTTAATGTTGTTGAGCTTACCGTCTTGGTCATGCTCGAAGGCGTTCTTGAGCAGGCGCATAGTTGCCAGCCAGAGGGATTTGGTGTTAGGGTTGGACGGGCTGGCTTTGCTGAGGATTGATACTACGTTCTCGATGATGTAGCTGGCGTAGCCGGTGACAATGGACTGTGATTCGTTAGAAGAGGGTTGATTGGATTGAAGAAAGTTTGGGAACATATTGTGCATACCTGAAGGGTGCCGAAGAAGACCTGCAGGAACTTGTAGAAAGTCGTGAGCCGGGCCAGGCTGCCCTGTGTATCCTTCTTTGAAACACCGGTTGTTGCCCACTCGAGGAGCTTTGCGAAGATAGGCCGGAAGGTTGAGTCGTTGAGCTTGTAAATCATCTTGATGGTGACCTCGTTGATGGTCTCCTCGATCTCGTCTACATCGGACAAGTCGAAAGTAGCATCCGATTCCAATGCGAGTTGCTCACGACGCAAATCGAACGCCTTGAAAAGGATGTTGGTGATGACGGGGAGGTTCTTCGCGGTAGACGACTTGGGATGCTTCTCAATGGCCATGCTGACGACTTCCAGAGTTTCCTTCGTAGCTTCTGGTCCGGCTTGCACAGCATGCTGCCAGTTGCGGTCGACTGCGCCGAATGTTGCAGAAGCATCAACCTTCTTGGCCATAAGTCTCAGTGCCTCCTGCCGGCTCTCCTCTTCACACTCATCGTTCATGGCGGACTTGTACGAAAGCACAAAGACCTTGTCCAGATGAGAAGCGGAGATCATGTAGGGGAGGTGGACGAAAAGAGCTGAGAACAGGGAGTAAACGGCATCGTGCAACCTGGGGTTCTCCTTGCCATCCTCCAAGCTCAATTCAAGTAAGGCCAGCGAGCGACTGAGTGTGTCCGGCAGGGCAGGAATCATGGCTTGGCCCAGGACTTCGGCCATAGAGGCAAGACACAGCACGCCCATGATGCGAATACGGTCATCCTCCTGTCCAATGCATACCTCACTAGCAACAACCCTGGCGGCGGGGATAACCTTCGACGGATCCTTCTTACCATACTTGTCGGCTATGCGGTCGATGCAAGCCACCGCAGCGTGCTTGAGCAGGATGTCTGGCGAAGACTCGACAATCTTGACCAAGACGGACAAAAAGTCCAACATCCTGGTTTGGGAAGGACTGTCGCGTTCGGGGTTCTGGCGCAACCGGCCTTCCAGGAGCCGGAGAACCTTGCGACGGAGTTCATCATTGGGACGCTCAAGCAATACCTCGATCGTGTCGAGGAAATCAACGAGCGATAAGGTTCCGAACAGAGCACTGAGAACTTCGCCACTTGCCTGGCCGACGGACTTCATGTCCTGCATGTTGTCTCCAATTGCCAAGGTTTGTTCCAGAATCTGCGAGAAGAGGGCGCGGATTTGTTGAGGTTCATCACCTTCCTCTGTTGCGAAAGCCTTGGCCATCTTTGACTTGAGAGAAGAGTGCCTAAACAAATAAGCCAAAGCCCGGAGAAGGTCAACTGCAACCTTCTGAGGCTCACGGCCGTCATCACTTCCGATTCCAAGAAGAACTTGTGAGATACCAGGCTTCGCCTTGAGAGAGTCGCTGACCAGTCCGAGGTACTTGCTGTAAGTGGCAAGTTCAACAGGGGCATTGGCATCCGAGACCAAGCCAGTCATCAAGATCAAAACATCCTTATCCATGGAATATCTATTCGCAAGCATGGATAAAACAGCGAACAAAAAGTCCTGCGTTCCGAGTTTGGTAATAAGGGCGTGGAAAAGTCGGAGGCGGCGATGTGAAGGAATGTGCTCGAAGGCAGCGGTGAAGCTGAGCAGCAACTCGGATGTCCCTGACACAACATCACGCTTCTGGTTACGCAATGACTGAATAAGGGCCGGAACGACCTGGTCAATCGTTTGATCAATCACGGAAACAGAGTAGTCGTCATCCTTCTTAAGCACGCTGGAGCCCATGAAAGTGAAGATTGGCATCACACTGTGGAGAACCAACTCGGGGGCAATGACAGAGAGACCCGCGACCAAGAGAAGGGCTGCGTTCTGCACTTGAGGACTGTCGGTAGTGCGGACACAATCGACAACCAGATCGGCACGAATCACGGAGGTATCGAACTGCGGTTTACCAATGGTCTTCGAGCGGTTGACAATAGCCAGCAAGCTGCCAAGTGCCAAGCTGAGCAGGTAACTCATTCCAGACTGAACTTGAGACTTGAAGTGGTGAAGAGCAGCCAGGGTTTGGAACAAGCCGTCGGCCAATTCCGGATGAGTCTCAGGGAAAGAACTATCTACCAACTCCAGAATGAAGGTCATCTTCTCCATGAGTTCATTGAGAGTAGCCTCATCCTTGACAGTCATTGCGACCATATTACTCTGGCTGGTGCGTCTTCTCTTAGGAGCTGGTCCAAGACCCTCCATATCGGTGACTGTGGCAGGAATCTTCTGGAGGAATTGAGATAGCACGGCTCCCGGAAGCTCTACACTGCGCAGGACATCCCTACATCCATCAACCAGAGGTGAATCTGATTGTTCCAGAGATATCTCAAACAGATTCTCTGCAGCAGGAACTTGCCGATCTTCAGGAACCTTGGCCCAGACGTCCTTCATACGACCGAAGATTGCGCCGACGAAAGAAGGACTCAAAGACTCCGAATACGGGTTCACGTTCGATAAAAGCACGGTGATAGCGTCTCTCTCCTTTGGTGTCACCGTCAAGACAATCTGGTTCTCCATCTCTGAAATGGGGACTCGCTCCTTCTCGCAAACATCCTTGGCCTGCTGTCCATCCATCTCTCTCCAGCTCTTTAGTAGCGGTCCAAGTTCCTTGGTACGGGTCGTTCCACCAGCCTTTTCGACACGGTTAAGAAGCTTTAGCAAACCAAGCTTGGGCGCATAGAGCGGAACATGAACAGCATGAGAGCAAAGGCAGGTGAAAAAGCTTAATCGAACAGCCTTCTTAAGCTCAGACGATTCTGAGTCCGGAACGGACGAACCACGCAGTGTAGCCTCGAGGGCTCGACCGATATGATCTGGATCAATGACATATTCTTCCAATCCTGGAAGCAAAGCACGCTCGAAAACCTTCTGTAAATCACGACCCGGGATCCACTGAATATTCTTGGGCTGCCCGCCTTGACCGTAAATCGTGTCACGGGCCCAGACACCTCCCGGAGCATCACCCTTCTTGTTCTTGTGGAGGCTACCGATGATAGTCAAAATGCCAGCGGCCTCCCGACGGACTCGCTCCGAAGGATCAGCAATAGTAACTAAGACAAAAGGCAGTAACGCTTGGAGATCCACGTCAATGGAGGTAGTATTGAGGAACGAAGAGATCATATTCAATGCAGCCACTCTGGTGCCAATGGGATACGACCCGGAGAAGACCCGAACAAAGAAAGACAGGTATTGAGGAGATTTTGTAGCGTTCGCTTTGTCAAGAGCTGGTAGGTTGGCGAAGGCATCGAGTTTCTCTTGTGACCCAATACCAAGGGCAAAAGCCCGGACAAGATTATCGTACACCGGGATGGACTGGGTGCTGAGATAGGAGCCCTTGAACGAGCTACCCGCCAGAGATTCCAGAGCCGGTGTGAAGTTGTCTTGCTCCTCTCCCCTTTCCATGTCTTCCATCTCTACATCTTCCACGGCTTTGGGAGCGGGTGCGGACTCGATAACTGTTTGCAAATTTTGTTCAATAGCATCAATATCAAAGGATGACTCCGCAACGGTCTTCTGGAAAATAGGACGCAGGGATTCTGTCCGGCTGAAGTGCTGTACCAGATCCGCGAGATGGGTTTGTGCATCCAAAGACATGGCACCATCCTTGTGAACATTGCCACTAGCGTGCAAGACCATAGCCATGCCACTGCCGATTTCGGCCTCTCCCAGTAGTTCACTCTCGAACATGAGCGACAAGAAATCAAGACGGGTGGTGTCTTTCTGCTTGGAGAGGTCTTGTACGCAGCCTGCCACCAACCCAAGTAGTAGTTGAGATGCCCGGTGTTGTTTCG